TCATTGTATAAGAAAAACGATTCTGAGCGAAGACGGTATGTCAGTCTAGGTTTAAGACAAATTATATACATATCTATGGTATTAAAATAAAAATTGACTTATAATAAATTCCAAATTAATCATATCACATTATCACAATATCCATTAGGTACTTATAACATGTTATACATCAACATCAATAACAAACCCTGATACTATCATAGATATATAATAGTACACTTTAGAAGTTTCAAGTAGGTACCCATGAATAATATTATATAATCACAACAAAATAACTAGGTTTTTTAATATGTAATTTCGTCCAAATTTGAACATAAAATTACTATAAAAGTAAACTGTGATTGTATATTTTTTAGATTTTTCGGTAAGAGAATTAACTACTTACATGGAATCTTGTTTTAAATTTTCAATCCTTAGCTATAAAAACTGAACATTTTATAATTTATTAATTACGATGATTAATAATTTTCGAGATTTTGAAAAATTCTATCAAAATTCGATGTTAAAATGCTTATAAAAAAAATTGTGCCTATGTATTTTTAATATTTTTCAACTGATATTGTAACAATATATCAGGAGCCTTGTATTAAATTTTTACACTTTTTGGCCCAACAGATAAAACTTAATTGATATTTATAGAAAAAAAAAACTAAAAAAATTGAAAACTGAAAATGTCCGTAAACGGCTCAAAAAGTGTCAAAATATTTTCAAAATTGTAGGGTGTATAGGAAATGCTAATATAAACATTCAGTGAAATTTTCATGTATCTACAGTAATTCGTTTTTTAATTACAACAAAAAAAGGAAATTGCCACATGAGAAATCGAGTGAATATCCAATGTTGTAAAAATTTGAATTTCAAACGCTCATAAAAATTTAATTTGACTTTCCGGTAGAAATTTTTTTATTGATAAAGGTAGACAATCTTATGAGTAATCTTGAATTAGATTTTCAAATCTTAGATTTAAAAAGAAAAATTTTTACGAATTCTTAACTCAAAATAATTTGCTAATTTTCGTGATTTTTCCATATATTGTCAATTTTTGAACTTTAAATGCTTATAAAAAAAAATTGTGACTAAGGATTTTTAATATTTTTCATCTGCCTTTGAAACAACATATTAGGAGCCTTCTATTAAATTTTCAAGCTTTCGCAACCAACAAATAAAATTTTATTGAAATTTTTAGAAAAAAAACTAAAAAAAAATGGAAAATGAAAATGTCCCTAAACAGTTCAAAATAAATCAAAATATTTTGAAAATTTTATCGTGTATAGAAAATGCAAATATAAACAACCAGTGAAAATTTCATGTATATACGTTCATTTGTTTTAGAGTTACACCAACAACCAAAATCGATTTTTTGGAAAATCAATTTTGTGTAAAAATTCCCGTTTTTCCTTAATTTTTATGTTGTTTTTCCCGGCGCTCTTGAAAACTACTGGGAAATTTAAATTTTGACCTCCCCAATGCACCAACGATATTCACTTTCCAATCGAACAAGATACTGAAGTCGAAAATCGAAGCATTATTTCGACTACTTATCGTGTACACAGATACAAAAAAAAAATAAAAAAATAAAAAAATAAAAAAACACACATCATTGTAAAATCAATACATTCATCGTTTCACTCAGAATCTAAAAAAACCCTTTAGGTGTTCAAAAGCGCCGAAAAATGAAGATTTTGACATGGAAATTTTGGTTTTCGACAAAACCAATTTCGGTTTTTGGTGTAACTAAGGACAGACGACCGTATAAATACATGAAATGTTCACTGATTATTTATGTTATAATTTTCTATACACAATACAATTTTAAAAATATTTGGATTTGTTTTGAACTGTTTACGCCATTTTCAGTTTACAATTTTTTATTTTTTTTTTATCTACAGTGTTACTCTTTTATTATGAAACACTCATTATTTCAAAAAGTATTAATGTTTTTGAAAATATTTTTTTACATAGTTTCAAGTTGTTAAAAAAACAACGTTTTTATTATCAAATTTTATTTTTGAATATTTTTTTTACTTTTTTACATTTTTAAATGACAGCAGAGTTTTAATTTCATATTCTAAAGAAGATTATTTTTCTTAGTATTTTTATCCATAAAAATAGAATTTAGGGCTAGTAGTTTATGAGTTATAACTTATAAGTATTTAGAGCTGATTAGATTGGCGGAGTGGAGTGGTACGGGGTTACCCCGCAAAATGTTTGTCCAACACTCTGCTTGTCAAAATTTTAAATACATATAAGTTAATAGTTATCTCATAAACTACTGGTCATAAATTCGATTTTTATGTATAAAAATACTTAAAAAAATAATCTTCTTTGCTATATGAAATTAAAACTCAATTTTGTCATTCAAAGAAGTAAAAAACTTAAAAAAGTATAAGGATAAAAATATTTAAAAATACCAAAAAATGTAATTGAATTAAAAAATAAAATATATGTAGTTCTTGTCTCTGTTAGACTAATAAAAAAAACAGATTTATGATAAATGTATTATCTCAGTTTATATCTTCATTGGTAAATACTCGAGGGACACTGTATACCACGATTAAAGATAGAATACTATCTTTAATCGTGCTGTATACTTATTAGTTGTTACCTACTAGTAATATACTAATATACTAATATCATAGGCTGACTGACCGTCTTCGCTCAGAATCGTTTTTCTTGTACAATGATATTATATCATTGAATTCTAATTGAATACCATCCATTTACTGTGCCCCACTTGCAGTCCTGTAAAGTATTTGAGTAAAAGTATTTGAGTAAAAGTATTCAAATACTTTTTTAAGTATTGAATAACTTTTTAAATACTTTCAGCATGAAGTATTTTGAATGGTATTTTAAATACTTTTTTTTGTATTAAATACTTTTTGGTATTGAATACTTTGGTTTTTTATTTCGAACATTTTATTTTTATTCGAAATAATTTTAGAAATTTTAGAATGAATTAAGAACACAAAATAGGTAGTATCGCCAATGGGTGGTTTCTTCCCTCAAAAAAAAATCATACGCAAATACCCTATGCACATTTGCTTATTGTTCTAGTTAAGAACAGATTGTAAATTTCATGTAAAATTAAAAAAATAAAAATGTAATAAACATTTATTTAATAAATAATAAATAAAAATGATTATAAATTTACTACCTATGTGTCTATATTACAATAATTAGAAACCCACTTTAAAAACCAAAAGTTTTTGAAAAGTATTCCAAAAGTATTTGAAAAGTATTCCAAATACTTTTTTAAAGTATTTGAGGAGTATTTGAAATACTATACAATTAAAGTATTTGAGTAGTATCTTAAATACTTAAAAAAAAATGTATTTGAGTACTTACTCAAGTACTTTTCAAAAGTATTCTTTACAGGACTGCCCACTTGTAACCTACTGTACAGCAGAATGACATCCACTTACCTGATTTTTAAATATTAGATATAAATAGAAAATTTCCCTCAACAAAAATTTAAAGTAATATTTTATTTTATGGATAAACTACTAAATATCTTAAAATCAATTGAATTTATGTCTTACGCTTAAATTTTATGCTCATTATTTCAAAAACTATCAACAAATTTAAAAATAAAAAGTATCTGTATCTTGCGTATGAACAATAGGTGAAGTGTAACAGCGTAGGTGTAGCTACATCTAGATGATATTATTGATATTCTCGATGATTCCTGACAGGCCTGTCCTATCCCAATAGACTCATAGAAATGGCTCAGTCTAATAAAAATGAAAAGTTCCATATACAAAAATAATACAAACAAAATATGGATTTTTATAAACATAAAAGTTCATCATACTAAGGGGGCTAGGGTATCATGTTTTAAGGAGTAATATTTAGGCAATACATATGACATGTACATTTAAACTATGTCTTCGGGTGAGTAGCAAATGATCATTTGAATGTATTCCGAAAATCGCTGTCACAATGCGTCAGGCAAATGCCGCCTGATGTGAACCCTCATATGAACATGTCCAGAGGTTACACGCATAAGGTTCAAGTGTTGCTCAGACAAAACACCTTAATTAATATGGGTAACAAATATTTTTTAAAGAAGGGCCAATATCATATTTTGACAATGTTTAGGAATTTAAAATATTAAATTGACCAATTTTTAAAATGTACATAAAAATCTTAAATTGTATGTAGGAACTCTAAAAATGCTGTTACCTTATTAAATTTATTTTTATTTCATTGTATTACTCTCATATTGTTTTTAACTATAAATATGTAAGTTTTAGTTTGACATTGGAACCCAAGAAAAAAAATATTACTTCGGTTTGGAATTGGCCAAAAACTAAAATTTAAAATAAACAATTAAAAATAATTAAAGAACTTTTTTATTAAAACCTAATAATAATATTCAATTGAGCATAATGTTAAAACTTCTACATTTATAAACTTTATTAATTGTTTTCGAAATGGCCAATGTTGTGGGTATAGATAATATGTGGCTAATGTCGACAATCGACATAGGCCCATATTATATCGATTATTGTCAAAAAGGCCAATGTCAAATCTTATTTAGTCATATAAAATAAGAGACACTGGCCCTTTTAACACAAATTACACTAACAAATTTTAACGACATTGGTCAAATAATCTCAATTTTGACAAAATGTGACATTGGCCCTTCTTGCACTAAGACACAGCATACATTATTGAAACAATTGTATGTATACAAATAAAAGTCACTTAAGAATATTGATAATATATTAATATATAACATGAAGAATATACTGTTTTCTGTATTTGCTACTTTAATAGTTTATATAAAAAAAAAATACATCATATATTAAAAATTATCATCAGAAATGTGTAGGTATAAAAATAAGTATAGCTTTAAATTATAATACATTATGATATACATTATATTATTTAATATTTAGTGTCCGCTTTTATAGGTAAATACTAAAAATATTACAAATTCATTAAACAGTTAATTAAAGTATATTTAACTGTTTTTCTTCCTTTCTAATATAAATGTTCTAGTATGGTAAATAATAAACAAAGCCACCTGTTCGAGATTCTTTTAATCGTTTTAAATGTCTTAATATGGGAATTATGTTTAATGTAGTTTTATCCACTTTTGTCTCACCAAATCTAGAAATATCATCAGCAGTTACAAAGTATTGACCTTAAAAAAAAAATGATAAGTTATAGTTTATTCTTTATGACCATTATTATTTATTTGTTCATACCTTGTCCAACATCATTTTGCTGAATTTTCCACGTGTTGTAAATATCTTGATCTTTTTTTTTTAATAAGTTTCTTGGCTTTTGCAAAATTTCATATTTATTTTCTAATGCAATATTAATACCATCAATCACAACATTCACATTTAATGAAGTTAAACGACCTTTCATGTACCTAAATAAAGTATGATAAACTGTATAAATAATAAAACAAAAATAATAATATTGATAATAACAATAGTACAGTGAAACCTCTAAATACCAGACACTTAGTCGATAACATTTTTTCTTTATAGAATGTTTATACAGTGAAAAATCAATAAAACAAAATTTTCTGTTTAACAAAATATTTTTGAAAACCAAACCAAATTAGAACCAAATTTATTCAATTCTATTTAATGAAATTCATTATAATACTATTTTATTTTTGCCCAAAAAGACATTGTAATATGTAAGTTTCACTGTAGTTTATTTTGAAAACAACGTCTACCATTTAGAGGTGTCTGCTATTTAGAGGCATTAGGGAAGGTATGTTTCACAATTTCACTGTATTTAACTTGTACACAAAACAGTTTTGATTTTGTTATTATTAGAGTACGTAATAAATATTAAATACAGACTATCTACATTTTTATACAAAAAGTCACCATGCAAAATAATTTCTGAATAAGTAGGCAACACCTGCATGTGATGTTGCAATCATACAAATGTATAATATAGGTAACACATTTTATGCAGAAGAATCCATTATGTGTTGATGATTTCAATATTATAGTGAATTCAATTCTACCTTACATCAAATTTAAAAGTAAGAATATTATTCAGTTCATCTTGTAGGATTTTATTTTAATTTTAAGTTTAAAGTGAGTTATAACAATTTGAAATATTAACAAAACCTTACAAAATGCCTGTACAATATTATTAACTTTATATTTGATAATAGGTATTCATCTTTAAATTACAATTAACAATATAAAATGGATCCTACTGAATATAAATTTGTTTTATTATATCTTTGAAAGATAGAGATAATACATGGGAAATACATATTCTGACTAAAGTTCTTACTTTGGAACAGAATCCATTTCATCGTTGTTAATAGATTTTAGAAGTGGAATATCAAGAACTTGTTTAGCAGCCTGAGATTTTAAAGACTGTCCCATCATACTGTTACTCATTATTGTACCATTTGACATAGTAGTATGGTGTATAGTGTTCTCAGATAGAGAATGACCATCTTTCCACTTTGGTACAGGTGACATTGAAATGTTAGCCATATTAGTTGAATTATTTCCTCTATATTCTTTTATTTCATGATTTTGATTATACTGCTGAGTTTCAAGTTCAGTATTTAATTGGGTAAAAACTATCATGTGGTTACATCTTTCCTCAATTGTTTTCAATTCATCCAACTGTCTCTGAAATGACTAAAAAAAATACCATGTCACAACAACAAAAAAACGTGCTATTAAGGCTGTTGGAGCATAGAATATTTTAAGAAGTAAAATTTTGGAAATTGTGCAAAAATATTACTGGCAAATATTTGTCATTGTGTGAGTAGTAAATGAACCTTAGTGTGTGTAATCCATTATCTGGGCCATTATCGTGTTCTCGTAAAAAAAAACCGTTAAAATCGGTACAAAATTATATACATTTTAAATATTTTATTATAGGTACCTCTTTAAAATATGGTCAAATTTTGTTATTTCAAATTTTTTTCCAGTAGGCCACAAATGGATTAGCGCCCAAAAAGGTATATTAAATATTATTATTAAAATTAACTAACCGATTGACGAGCATTTTTCTCTTTGATCAGAGCATCTTTGAGAATACTAATCTGATCGTCAAATGACATAATTAAACTATCCAATTGTTCACATGTTTCTAATATTTCTTGTCCACCTTCACTATCTTTGCAACATAACATTACATCTAGAGAGGTACTAAGTTTATCAATGGTTCCCACCATTTTTTCAAGATTAAAAATACTCATCTTGAATGTTATGCTGTTTTTCCTAGAACAAATAATTCAAGTTTAACAGTATAACTTTTAATATATTATAAAATATCTACTAGTCCTATGTATACTAAGGATACTATTATAACTACATAATAAATTTAAATAGTTTGGCATAATGCATGCAGCTTAATCAGGTATATTAATAAGAGCAATGAGTTTGGGCCACTTATTAAACTTTAGCACATTTATATATACTCCGGTCCACGAGAGTCCATATGTCCAAACGCATCCGTTGCTGTGCATTTGCATGTTGCCAAATAGTGGGGGAATGACATCATGGTGGGAGAAAACAGACGTCACGTATTAATATATCAATGCGCGGTTTACGTATGGACTCTAGTGGGCCGGTGTATATGTAAATATCTTAAAAAAACAATGTACCTAGCAATATAATAATGACTAATAATTAATTAATTGTAATATTATACACCTCCAAAACCTTATCCAAATATATTTCAAGTAATTAACATCCAAGTAATCCAAGTTCAAACTATTATCACTATAAATCTCACATTTAAAATAATAAATTTAATGTAGGTAGTAGATATATATAAATTAAGCAATTCAAAAAGACTACATACCTACTGCATAAATTATGGATACAATATAAAAAAATTAAAATATCTAGATTGAATAATAAAATTATACATTAGGTTATGTTAATTAAATAACTATTCATGTAAATTCGGTAATAGTAATTTTGTCTCTACCTACATACTATTATAATACCTATACCTATAAATTTTTTCAATTTTACAAACTGTTACCAAAATAAGATAATATATATTATAATATCAACAAAAATAACAAGCAAAATTTTTGTCTATCCTAAACACACCCTGTTAAATGGAAGTAAAATTTCGGTACAAACAGTTCCTCCCTATACTAACTCATCAATCGTCACTTAATGAGTACATAATATATTTGTAGGTGCCTAAAGTTGCCTATAATAGTATGATGCCTATAGTTATGAATATCTTAGAAAAAAAATACAAATATATGTAACTAATAGTATCATTCTTGGAAATGTATCAAAGGGTTTTAACTGTGATTAAGATATAATAATTTAGAGCATAAGAGAAGAAACAAAATATGAAAAAGAAACTCACGTACCTATTCTTAAAATAATTGAAATTATGTCCGAAACAGCCATACAGGATAAGATTTATATTTTGTATTTATTATTTAGTACACTATCTTCTTCACTCAGAAAAAATATAAGTAATTATTTGAAAAAAAAAAATACGTTTACGCAAGATAATTAATAATTGTAATACAAATCATGATAAAGAAAACTTTATACAAATCATGATAAAGAAAACTTTATCATGATACAAATAATACAAACATGAAGACTAGAGATAAGGAGGCCAAACTAGGAGCGTCTAAACCATAGAGTATATAGAGATGCCCTATCAGAATAAGTATTATGAATTATGTGAAGCAAAACATGTCGGATTTGGTTTCCAATAACTAACAACGCAACTGATAGATAGCGCTAATTTTCAACTTTTCGTAAATCCCAGCAATGTAATATTTTGAATATGTTATAATACTTTCTACTCAGAAACTATTTTAAGAACAAACCTAAGATGCTGGTGTGTTACAATAATTTAAGTATTGATAGTACTGATAATTTCCTCACCAAAAACTTACTACCCTCCCATAACATATTATAATAGTATTTACGTATTTGTGCAAATCAAGTTCAGTTCAGTAATATTATAATAATTAATATTATATTGATAGTTATAAATAAAGGTTAATATAACCATAGAACAATATGATATAATTGAGCAATAATAATGAGTAATATAATGAAATTACAATAAATATTGTATTATAGTTCATATACAATAAAATATTTTCTATAGTTTGCCTACACTGTTTTGTTTCCATTTCCGCTTCATATTATTTCAATAGGGCTCCTCTATATACTCTATGGTCTAAACACAGAACTGAACCGAGACCGTTCTGCGCATGCGCTAATGACATATCATAAATTGAAGTCTCTTATCTGTTATCAGGTTATCTGTACAAGTTGCTTGCAACTCAATGAGTAATTTAATTAGTAATTAGAACTATTTAATAATCGTTTAATTAAGTTTAATTGATTTTACTAAAGTAATCTTATAATATTATAAAATAATACATTTTAAACTCTTGTGGTAGAAGAGCATTTGGATACATACATTGATGTAATAAAATTAAGTATAGTATATAATATAATTTATTGATTAAGTCGACATTAGTTAAGATTATTTTATATTCATTTATTGATCTACTTTACTATAGTTAAACTAATATCTCTTTGAATGTACAAACAATTTTCATGCATGCTTCAGAAAGGTATTTATTTTAGTTTATTAGAACTCTCATCTCCACACAGCCATTGGCTTGGAGGTGACCAATTCTTTCTGTTATAATGTTAATTTTGTATAATATAATACTGTTGTAGCTGGAATCTTATTCAATAAATAATGTGTATTGATGTTTGGATAAAAGATAATGTAAAATTGTATTATTTTTCTTTAGAATAGTGTAAGATGGCAACGAAACTCTCTGTAAATTGAGCAATTAATGTCAATGTCAACAACGATATTCCAGACAACATGCAATGGATGATTGGACGCTGTCTGCTCTTATTTTTTAAATTATAATGTAATACATTCAATCAGATAAAATATTCAATCGTCAAATGCGTGGGCTAGAATGGTGACTATACGAGTGACATCCGTGAGAACGGAGATATCGCATATGTAGGCAAGGGGTACGGGGAACCTCATATATAAGGAAGCCCGAATCGGCCTGTATTCAGACGTGTACTACTACCCATTAGTGCAAGCACCTTCACGCCACTCTGTAGAATATTATTTGGACTTAGAAAATTATCGAACATTATAATAAAAATTCACAATATATTACATCTGTCTATTCATTCATTATCTACCACGACTACAACATCAAATAAAGTGTCTGCGACCTGCAATTATAATAACTTGGTTGCCACTTATCTACTGTCAGTACTACGATAGTAGGTACCAAGCATCCAGGCTTATTACAAATGTTTTAACTAAAGTGCATAATAAAATATTATTTTATATAAGATTTATATTTCGTACTTTCTTGACCTTTTATATCCTTTCTAGATAATCAAAGAATAAAAAAAATAATATATATATAAATTATAAATAAAAATTAGGCATTTTTTATTATTTCTCATAAAACATATTATCACTGTTTACCTACATAAAAAAATATGAATGGTAGTATTAATACTAATATACAATATTGTAGAAATTAATCTTGTAAAATAATATTAGATTATTTTCAATTCTTATAACATCATGGTAATCTTAAACATATTATTACATACAATATTTTTATTGGATCTTGTATTTATCTTTTATTTACAGTACTAAAATTGCCCTAATAAAAGTTTTATAAATAGCTATATATAATTACATGAAAGATACAATCATACCATAATGGTAGGCAACTTTGATCAAGTATACAGTATACAGTAATAAACAAAAAAATAGTTTCCTATTTTATTTTAACTTTATGTTCAAAATAGCGATTAATTGTGATATATGCAAAGAAGAATTTTCGACCAAGTCTTCATTGACAAGACATCATTTAAATAAACACAATGTAATTAGTGAAACAAAAAAAAAGTGTTATCCAAATGTTATCTTGTAAGGACAAAACATTTAAAAAAAAAAAAAATGCTTATTGAACATTTAAATACACAACATGGAATGTGTATAAAAGAAGAAATAATGCACTTTTCTAGTGTATCATATGAGCTTATTTATTATTGAAATGATGAATGATCCTGAAACTAAAGACTCTGTGGTATATTTTAAACGAATGTATGCAAACAGACCAACATCATGGTATATCGTTACGGTATATCAATTATTATTAAAATATTATTCTTTTCAGATAACCTGATAACAAGATAACAGATAAGAGACTTCAATGTATGATATGTCACTAGCGCATGCGCAGAACGGTCACGGTTCAGTTCTGTGTTTAGACGCTCCTGCCAAACTCTGCTGGCCGCCTGCACAAAAATTGGTTCTATAAGACATCGCACACTAATTTCTCCACCAGTCTGCGTGGCGGTCAAATCCGAGGCTGGCTCGGAGTATAATTAACCCGTATTAGATAGGGACATACTCGACTTTATTACATTTAAAAAATTATAATTAAAAAAATAATAATCGTATTTAAATTAGAATTACACCATCGTATTCAGCGCAAATTTATCTTTAAGAATGTTCTATATTTACGTAATATATGTACATATAAATAGAAAAAAAAAATTTTAAAAAAATGTAAACCTTCACGTTTACATAATTATTATATATTATTATTTTACAATATAATTTTTATTATTATTTACAGTTTAGATACTTTCCTGTTTTTTTTTGTTTTTTCTTTGCTAGTTGGATTAAACATAATAGGGATCTATTATTTTTAAAGGTGGGTCGAACTTAAAATGTAAATGTCGAAGCAGTTCAACCCACCACTAATAATATTACTACCTACATAACTAGCATTAGCAATCAAATAGGTATACCTACTTAATATGTAGATATACAGGTATGACTAAATATAGTCATCAAAATGATTAATTAATTAAAAAATTAATAAGGTACAGTATTTTTTTAAAATATTACCTGGATTTTTAAATTTTCATCTATAGTAATTTTTTTTTCTGACCCTAATTCCCAACGTACATAATAAATGTGGTTTGGTAGTAAGCCACATGTCCATTTATTGTCAGGTTTATGTATTTTATCTCTAAGGTCCAGTAGTAACTTAAAGTTTAAACTTGATGTTTCAGAATATTGTACCTGAGTATTTCCTGTTGCTTTGGTAGAATCTATAGCCAACAATTGGAGCTTGGGTCTCTTTGTACAAATAAAATTATCAGGTTTTTTTTGTGGGGACTTTCTTTTATTTGCTGGGGCAGTAGATAAATAAGATGGTAGATTGGGAAAGATTGTAGGTATAGCTTTATATTTCACCGTAGGCTTTCCTTTTTCTATTTTATCAACTTTACCACAAGGGAGCTTTATTTCATAATATTTTTCAATATCACCTTCTAAAAAATGTAATTCACATACTCCACAATTTGGTGTAAGTACCTTATCTTTTCTTGGGATCGCTTTGGCCCATTTATTTAAAAGCTCAGGGTCCTAAAAATAATATGGATATTATTATGGGTGTTTGTATAAATAATACAATTACTTACCTTTGGTGCTTTAAATATACTTTTATTTCGAATGCCATTTAACAAATTATATTTTTTTTCTTTAGAATTGCCAGTTGAACACCCAGGGGCATAACAATTTCGACTCATTTTTATCTATTTTTATCTAAATCTTAATTTAATTTAATTTTAAAAAATGAAGAACATAACACGTAAAAATATCGAAAACTTTAAGTGCTTAAAGTTACTTTAAGCTTTTTATCAATAATTCCTCAATTTGATGTAATCAATCGGTATCGTCAAACTAGAAAATAATATGCACCAGTATAAATGTAAATATGTATAAAATTACTATAAATTATATTGTAAAATACCTAATTCTATATAATAATTATGTAAACGTAAAGATAAATTTGCGCTGAATACGATGGTGTAATTTTAATTTAAATACGATTATTATTTTTTTAATTATAATTTTTTAAATGTAATAAAGTCGAGTATGTCCCTATCTAATAGGGGTTAATTATACTCCGAGCCAGCCTCGGATTTGACCGCCACGCAAACTGATGGAGAAATTAGTGCGCTATGTTTTACGGGACGTTTTTTGTGGTAGAATTTGGCCTCCTTATCTCTAGTCTTCATGGTTCTAGGGATAGGGGTACTCTACCCGGTACTCTACTCTATACTACACTAGATAAGGAATATTAGGAATAATTGTCCGTGTATACAATTATTACAATTTACATTGTTATAAGTGAAGCTCAGCTGTTGACGGCTGCCATTTTGTGGGTTGGCAAAACATTTCATTTATTATACAAAATGTATTAGGAATAATATTTTTTTTGGCATAATTGCAGTTTAGCTCCCCCTCGCCATTTTGAATTTTTTTATCGAAACTTATGTAACTCATCGAGTTTAGAGCGATGGTGCAATCAGAATTTGTCGCTCTCACTTAGTTTCGAAGTTATGGCCTTCCAATGTTTTCGACTTTACGTTTATACGCATGCTAGAACTACTAGAATGCCGCGCATGGCTAGCTGGAGTTACCCTGTGACCACTGACCATAGAGTATATAGAGGCGCCCTAATGGGCAATGGCTAATTGAAATAATATGAAGCGCATGATATAACATTATAACCACATATAACTAATAACATACATTAGTTATATTATATATATTGTAACGTGCCAACCACTTCAACTCAATATTGATGGTATTTTGAATTAAAATAACAAGTTGATGGTATAATGATAGTTTATTTGTATTTATTTAACACGAAAAATATTCTATGTCCAAATAATTAAATTATAAACTTTGTGGCTGTTCTGCTAGTGCTCGTTGTCTTGGCTGGTGTTCGTCTGATGGACACTTGTCCATCGACGTATTTCGTCGGTTTTCCTATTAGATCCCTCCTATGGCATTTTTAGTATAAAAATGGTACATACATAGCTGCGTATACCTGACGTCATTTCGGCGTCCTCTACGAAATAATGTTTTTTTTTTTTTTTTTTTTTTTTTATTATAATATAAGATGTTCCTAGCCATGGCTATCTACATCTATTGATATTAATTATAAGTTGCGTTTTAACATTTTGAATATGATAAGTTAATTAAGTAATTATAATAAAAATGATAATAATAATAATACTTAATAATAATAATAATATTAACAATAATAATAGCAATATAAAGGTATAACAGATAATAAATGGCAAGTTGTATAACTTAAGTTGACGCTACGAGTAGCAACAGCTGCTGTATATGGAGCTGTTTAAACCAGAAGGTCATGTGGACGTCCACGTTTTAGTCTGCGTTGAGGCGGATGTACATGGAGCTGATAATGAAGTGAGCCAGGAGAGCTGAGCAGTGCGGTATGGAAGTTTTTTGATGAGGTTTTAATGAAGTCTGTGATTTCCTGGATCTGAAGGTCTTTGTGTAGGTTTACGTTCCTTATAAACCAAGGCGCGTTGGAAATAATACGTAGCACTTTATTTTGAAAAATTTGAATTTTATTGATGTGAGTGGTCGCGCATTTCCCCCAGACCGGACACGCATAAGTGAGAAGTGGACGTAGAATTTGTTTAAATATAAGAAGAGAGCATTTTTTCTGTAATGGAGATTTTTTATTGAGAATAGGGTACCTATAACATAGAAAGGCGCTGATATGCCTGTTGAAGTTTGGAAGAGATATGGGGCTGCCATGTTAGCCGTTTATCCAATGTCAAACCGAGGTATTTAACTGTCGAGCTCCATGGTATATTTACATTGTTAAATGTTGATTGTTCAGGGAAGTGGTAAGGACGAAGACTGAAAATAACTCCTGTGCTTTTTGACGCATTTATTTGAATACGCCATTTTTTACACCAATAAGATATTACATCAAGATGTGCTTGCAGATTTGTGGTTAATGCTTCAATGTTACGTGATTCGGTGAATATTGTAGTATCATCAGCGAAGAGGGCAATATTCGTACGAGGTGACTGGGGGATATCGTATACGTAGATGTTAAATAGTATGGGACCAAGCTTAGAGCCCTGAGGTACACCAGCAGATATAGGCATGAGGTCTGAGGTGTTATCATTTATTTTAACAGCGAACTGCCTGTTAAGTAAAAATGAATTAATAATATTGAATAAGTAAGATGGAGTACTAATGGATTTTAGTTTAAAAAGTAGGCCCTCGTGCCATACTTTATCAAATGCTTTGGAAATATCTATAAATACAGCTCCCGTATGACAATGTTTTTCAAATGCAGTATTAATGTGTTCAGTTATTCTAAGTAATTGTTGAACCGTAGAATGATTTGATCTAAACCCGAATTGGAATTTAGGTATAATATCTATGGCATTTAAGTAGAAAAGAAGTCTAGTGTGAATGATTTTTTCAAACAATTTTGAAATTGAAGATAAGAGGCTGATTGGCCTGTAGCTGTCAGGAATGGATTTGTCCTTTCCAGGTTTCTTTATTAGTATTATGTTTGCAACTTTCCATTTGGGCGGAAAGTGGCCAAGACGCAGTAAAGAGTTAAATAATGTGGTCAACGAAATAATGTTAATTGGGATTATATGTTTTCAAAGTTATCTATTTTTGTTATTTACGGCTTTTTCGTATTTCCTAGAATATGGATAATGCGCGCGTTCTATACTCTTATCGATGTGGCCGCCCGGACGTTTATATTATTACTATTATTGGGTTACGTGCCCTCTGCAGCATTTATATTTGTTATTGAATATAATATATTATATTATAAGCGCATTATACTCAATACAGCATAACAGGCGCGTATCCAGAATTTTATTTCAGGAGGGGCTGAACAAAATTATCAACATAGTCACACAATAAACAAAAAGTGGGTAAGTGGATGTCGCTCTGCTGCACAGTAGGTAACAAGTGGGTCAATGTAATGGATAGTGTAAAATTTGAATTCAATGATATAATATCATTGTATAAGAAAAACGATTCTAAGCGAAAACGGTCAGTCAGCCTATGATATTACTAAGTATATTTGATGATATTATTGTGAATAAAGTAATTTATATATTTACCTATTTACGTGGACCATTGTTTTAAATTTTTAATCCTTAACTATGAAAGTTGAACATTTTATAAATTTTTAATTACAAAATATTTATTATATTTTAAATTTGATAAATTTTGTCAAAATTCAAACTTTAAATGATTATAAGAAAACATTGTGCCTATGTATTTTTAATATTTTTCAACTAATATTGTTACAATATATCAGGAGCCTTGCGTTATATTTTCACGCTTTTTACCCAACAAAAAAATTTTTATTGATATTTATAGAAAAAAAACTAAGAAAAATGAAAACTGTCAATGTCCGCAAATAGCTCAAAAAGAGGCAAAATATTTTCAAATTTTTTCGGTGTATAAAAAATGAAAACATTCAGCAAAATTTTAAGTTTTGTGATTTTTCCGTATTTTATCAAGATTCGAACTTTAAATGCTTATAAAAAAACTATGACTAAGGATTTTTAATATTTTTCAACTGCTATTGTAACAATATAGCAGGAGCCTTGTATTAAATTTTCAAGCTTTTTTACCCAACAAATAAAGTTTTATTGACATTCATATTTTTTGGATTTTCTTGAAATTTCAGGGGGGGCTGCAGCCCACCCAGCCTCCCCCATAAATACGCCCCTGCAGCATAATATAATATAATATTTTATATATTATTACTATTATAATATGTACGTAGTCACAGCCCGTTACAATATGGTTAACGAGCGTCTAGAGACAGCCCCCTCGGAACAGTTTCTCTTATCACAAAACCATTATCACGGTCACAAAGTTTTAATACGTAATATAAAATAAATAAATAAATATGTTAAATTGTTAATATAAAATAGTTACTTAATATTACATCGTAAGATTTCATAATTTCAATAGTATTGTATTGTTTCACTTCAGTATTACACTCAGTATAAATTTGTAATACGTTGTTAAGATTGGTAAGTCATCCAAAAAACTAAATAAAAAGTTATAAAATTAGTAGAAAATTAATTAAAGTATAAATTAAAATATGTAGTGTTATTAACTATGTATTAACCAAGATTGAAATATCCGATTATTTCACCACGGTATTAATTAGGTCTTATTTTGTATAAGTGTGGTCAGAATCAATATGAATGTAGGGAGTTTGGTCATTTCCTTTTAAATCGGCGATTATTTGATTTCTAATTGTTAATGTAGGTTTATTTAATCTTTGTTCTTCTGGTGCTTGTACTCTTTGTTTTTTGATGGAATAAAACCGTAACTGTTTTTCTGCATTTTTGTTAACAGGTTCCTGATTTTCTACATTTTTTATTAAATTATTTTCTCCTTCATACAATATGCCTAAACCTGTATCAATAGAAGCGTTGATTTTTGTTAGCTGCTGGGAACTTAATGTGCTTGCTTGGGACATAAACATGTTGTAGAATTCATAAAGTTTGTTACCAATGGATTCTGTGGATACAGAAGAGAGTTGTTGTGTGATTGGAATTTTCATACATACTTCATCAGTTATTAAGGGATTACATACATCAGTTCTTGGAATCACTACTTCATTGTCAACCATATTAATGTTTACAGCATGTATATGCTTGCACATATTATTTTTTATTGTGTAATCGTAACACGTACAAGAAAACAAATGAATACAGACTTTACATGCAACACATATAATTTTACATGAACATGGTTCATGTTTCTTAACCAGGTAATTTTGATCTAAAGTTTCAGATGTTACAGACCAAGTGATTTCTGATACTTGATGAATTCCAGAAATATTAATCTGAGCAGCAGCAAGATGACGACTATTAAGAGGCCGTCCTAGTAAAAGTGAAACGAATGCAACGCTCAAGAGATGGCGTTGTGCGCCGTATCGCCGCCGTCGCGGTAGGCCGTAACCACGCCCATCGTGTACGCGACGCGGCGCGCTTGTTGTAATCGCGGGAGAGGTACATTATTATTTCACGGACAGTCGTACAGGACGTTTCGCGTCATTACAGACCATTGCGTAAATTGTCGCCTATGAATTCTACATGGTGCGCTGCCTCCTAGCTCATACGTCGCAAACCTACTTTTTAATTAAAGCTCCTGTTTGCATAAAAATATTAACCAATGAATTAAGCATAACAATTATTATATTCCATAACTCGATTTATATATCTAACCCAATTATCTACTTCTTAAAATACAAGTAAAATAATAATTTCATTAGAATTAAATAGATTTTTTAGTAAAAGTGTAACGTATTTTACGTTGTAACTTATAAGTGACATGAAGCAATGTTTGTACGATAATTTAATCTATTAAATAAATATTAGCTACATTTTAAATAGTTTTGATTATATAGGTAGTTAATATTGATGTATTTTCTTATTTTAATTTTAAACATATAACACATATAATATGAAGTTGATGTTGTCCATAATGTTTATAAAATAAATATAAATAAAATAATATATTAATTATATAATTGCAATTTGTAGTACCTATGTAAAAAAAGCAATCTGTATAAACTAAACATGTTCATTGATCATAATATCATATAATGTATATAAATTAAAATTAAATTATGTACAGACCACATTTGTTATATATAATAGTTAGTTGAAACAAAACATTTAGATTAATGACAATTTATTATAATTGATAGGTAACTTAAATTAATGGTATAGGTAGCGTAGATAGTGTAACTGACTTACTGACGTATATTATATTCTAGTATACTACCTATGCTTTTATTTTATGAAATATCATAATATGTACATTATATTATCTATATGTAAAAAGGGCCCGATTAACCAATAGCAACCAATATAATATAATTTAATATACCATAGAGTAAATAAAGACAACGGTATCGAGTTCAAATCCCAGACATCAATAAATAGTTTTTGCAGTTTTTCTAATTATTCGGTTGACTTTTTAAAAATTTTCTTTCGTAAAAACCTTCACCTGGCAATTACGAACATCTTAAAAAAAATTTGAGCAAAATCGGCCCAGCCGTTCTCAACTGATGCAATTTCGAATTATTTGTCTCCATTTTTATATATATAGATAATATTATGCCCTTAGAATTTTACATATTTGTTTTGCGATGTAATAAAAAAACAATTATAGTCCCATGTAAAATTAATTTGTAGGTATACAAGTTAAATAAATAAATATATTAATAAATAAATATGATACAAATATTTGTATTACTTAGTTTTAAAATAATAAATAAAAATGGGTGCAAATATTTAATATTAAATATTTTTAATTTTGATGGAAGGTATTAATTTTGAATTCAATGATATAATATCATTGTATAAGAAAAATGATTCTGAGCGGAGACGGTATGTCAGTTTGGGTAAAAGAACATAAATATTAAACATTTCGTCCAAATTTGAATTTAAAATGTCTGTAAAAAAAAAACTGTGTTTATGTATTTTTTAGATTTTTTGGTTACAGTATGAACTATTTATGAGAATCTTTGTTTTAAATTTCCAATCCTTAGTTATAATAACTGAACATTTTATAATTTTTTAATTACAGTGATTGATAATTTTCGATATTTTGATAAATTTTGTCCAAATTTGAACTTCAAATGCCTATAAAAAAAATTGTGCTAATGTATTTTTAATATTTTGCGACTGCTATTATAACAATAAATCAGGAGCCTCGTATTAAATTTTCAAGCTTTTTCGCCCAACAAATACATTTTTATTGATATTTATAGAAAAAAAAAACTAAAAATATTGAAAACCGACAATGTCTGTAAACAGCTCAAAAATAGTCAAATTAATTTGAAAATTGAATGGTGTATAGAAAATGCTAATATAAACATTCAGTAAAATTTTCAAATATATACAGTCATTCGTTTTTTAATTACAACAAAATAAGAAAATCGTTACATGAGAAATCGAGCGAATATCAAATGTTGTAAAAATATGAATTTCAAACGGTCATAAAAATTTAATTTGACTTTCTTCTAGAAATTTTTTTTTTAATCAAGGTGGAAAAACTTATGAGGAATCTTGTATTACATTTTAAAATCTAAGAATTAAAAAGAAAATTTTTTATGAATTTCTAACTTAAAATAATTTGCAATTTTTTGTCATTTTTATGTATTTTGTCAATATTTGAACTTAAAATGCTTAGAAAAAAAATTGTAACTAGGGATTCTTAATTTTTATAGGTATATAATTATTACGGATAATTGTTTTTCTCAGTTCTATTATGGACCGATCTAAAATATTTGCCTCTCCCCTTCTCAAAAACTGAAATTACGCCACTATATTATACAAACCCTTCTACATGCATAACTTCCATGAGACTCCATAAAAATAACAATTTTTTTTCAAATTTTACATAGGTTGGTACATTTTATAGTCGAGTATAGCACTGTATTTATTACATTATAACCTATAAACTACGTACTTCATACTGATGACTTTAGTATAAAATAAAATACTAAGTCATCTGGCTATATTCTGGCTATATCAATGAATGAGTATAGGACATTATATATTTATATAGTTAGACTACTTAGACTAAAATACACGCGTACATCTTCGAATACAATATACAATAATAAATAGCGTAATACATAATTTAATAACTGGCTCCTAATAGTAGTTAAAAAATATTAATTATACAAAGTCACACTTTTTTTTTACAAGCATTTAAAGTTCGAATTTTGGCAACATAGAAAATACATAAAAATGAAGAAAATGTGCAAATTATTTTATGTTAGAAATTCATAACAATTTTTCTTTTTAAATCTAAGATTTGGAAATTTTAATCGTAAGTTTTTTTAATTTTATGAAAAAAATATCTACCGGACATTCAAATTGAATTTTTATGGGTGTTTGAAGTTCAAAATTTTACAACATAGGATAATATTGATATTATTCACATTTCACACAACCATACATATTTTATTATTTATCTCATTTTTATTAATTAAAAACTGTATATAATTTTAACAATTTACACTATATTTTATCAATTCTTATAACACTTTCACTCTTTCTGAGCTGATTACGGACATTTTCGATTTTTTTTAGTTTTATTTATTTTACAATGATGTGTGTTTTTTTTCTGTTTTGTATGGCCCTTTTTGGGTAGTAAAAGTGCTCCGATTTCCTAGATCAGCATCTTTACTGATAGAAAAGTGAAACTATAGTTGGTATTTTTGGGGAGTCAAAATTCAAAATTTCTAGAAGTTTTAGAAAGAGTTGAGAAAAACAAAAAAATAGGTGACTTTTATACAAAATCAATTTTTGAAAAATCGATTTTATTTTTTTGGTGTATCTCAAACCTAACTGTAGAACCTTGAAATTTTCAACAAATATTTATATTAGAATTCTCCATAAAACATTTTCTCAATATTTTGACTATTTTTGAGCTAGTTATAGGCTTGAGCCCTTGAGAAATTTTTCCATTTTCCTAAATTTTTTTAAAATTATCCTCGATAAAATCTTTTTTGTTTAGTAAAAAATCTTGAAAATGTAATGATAGGTTCCTTATAATTTTTATTAATGGAAGTTTTAAAAATACATAGGCTCAATTATTTGTTATATTCTTATAAAGTTCCAATTTTGACAAAATTCATAAAAGTTTTTTTTTCATACCTAACTTGAGACATTTTAATAGAAGGTTTCTAACAAGTTTTTGTAATTCTATCAAACTAAAAAAGTTCCCCAGGAAGTCACGTTTTCGATCTTTGTTAATTTTTTTTTAGCTACTAAATTTGATTACTTTTACAAGTGTGATAGGCTGATACAATGTCTCCGCTCAGAATATTTTTTCGTTTACAATAATTTATCAATGTAATTTAAATATAACACATCCATTACAACGACATGCTTGACACCCACTGTACAGCAGAGCGGTACCCACTTGTCTACCATAGGCGCAATTTGGGGGGTGCTTGGGGGTGCTTAGCACCCCCAAATTTTCAACAGCATCATTTAATTGTAATTGGTTATACACGTATTATGTCATAGACAACAGGATAAATTAATTTCTAAGATTTGACTTATATAATAATAATAATAATAATAATAATAATAATAATAATAATAATAATAATAATAATAAATAATAATATAAAATACCGTTTTTCGGATGAAAGTTTAGTTTTAGCTAACTCATTAGACCAGTTTATGAAAATGGATTTTGAAAAAGGTTCATATTTCATCAATCATTACAAGGTTCGTAACTAGTAAATTATTTATAAACTAAATAATAATAACTCATTAATTGAATTCATAATAATTATAAATAGGTATCTAACAACCATGTATATATTATATTGTTGTGATTAATGTAATGTAGGTTAATTTTTTAAATAAAATAATCATGTGAGGATAATATAATTTCAGGATGTTGTGAATATTGATTTAACATCATTGAAAGCAGAAATGTTGCTGACAAAAAATTGTTTACAAAATTTTGATATACTTGGAATAAAGAAAGTGGTGACTGAAGATGTTTTTCCAAACTTGTTTAAACTTATTCAAGTAGGATTAGCTATTCCTATAAGCTCAGCTACTTGTGAAAGGTCTTTTTCATCTATGCGCC